AGGAATGCAACATTTATGTAGGAAGTCTTGGCTTGAGGACAGGCTACTTTTCCAACTAAGGCTGACAGTTTGAAGGGACCTTCAGTGAACTCGACAGTGTGAAGGGGACTATGTCCGGCGTCACTTGTGTGGAGAGTTCCCTTGTGACACGGTTTCTTCCAGACACAGGGGAGTTCTTGCGGAAACTAACGGCCACAGTCAGCTAAAGTGAGACCACAGCACAGCACAGCACAAGGAGACAACCCACTAGGCACAGACGTCAATTCAATGTCTTTTCCACATTGGTTCAACATAATTTCATTGAAATGACATGGAAACAACGTTGATTCAACCAGTTTGTGCCCAGTGGAAATTGACGCTGAAGTAATACGGGCCAATAGAGTGTGCTGTATCTCTCCTCTTCACCCTAACACTTTACCCCAACAAACCAGTAAGACCATATCAACAGACCTAGCTTCACCATTCTAGAGATGTAACTCAGGGAGTTGATAATGAGTTGATCGGATCAATTCACATCAATGAGTGATGATTCCATGAGATGCACATTGTACCCAGGGGAGGTCAATATCAACATACAGCAGAAACAATAAGAAATCAGAGAAGAAATATATTGTCAGTTTACTGTATTTATAGAGACAAAACATAGAAAGCAAACATATTTGAAAAGTAAATCAACAATTTATGTTCAGTTATGTGTCTTCTTTGGATACATTGTACAGTATGAACCACTTGCGGTCATCTCTTTGGAGTACAAGGGAGAACTGCTGCACCTCACCCTTTGAACTCTTGCATTTTCCACTGGATCAAGGTCAGAGCAGATAAAGTGAGACACTGATTACAGGGGTAGACTTAGATGGGATGGAGAGAAGGATGCTCTGTCTCAGTCCACTATTGAATAAGGATGACAGAAGTCATCACACACAACATATACCAACGTATAGTAGTTATGTTAAATAACTAGAACTCAAGTGGATCAAACCAGAATTCAAAGTGACACTTCTCTGTGATACACAAACATGTGAGAGAGAATCCAGGGGGTGCAGGTTCATGTTGGGAATATATTCCACAAACATTGGCCATTTCAACTTGTTCTGCACATACTTTGTTGTAATATAAAGATTACTTAAATATTAATCATTAGCTTTGTATATTATTGTCGTCTACCCCCAACTAGTTCCCATCTATATATTCTGAAAACTTCTTATGAGGTTGTATAGCTACAATGACAAGGCGGCCAGAGCGCGTCGTCACAGGGAATCGAGTGCTCTTCCTAATCGCGCGGATTATCGGCTGCACCCTTTTGCGGTCTGGACGGACCTTCGTTTCTATCTCAGACAAACATTGAATGTTCCACTATATGTTTCATTCCGTATCCATGGCATTGGCAATAACAGAGAATAAAGATTTGTGCTCCCGGTCCGATGTTCCAAAAAACGGCCATCGTGTTCATATGAAAGCAATCAAAAGTGATTTTCATGCGATATAGGAAAACATATTCAAACAAAGTAATTCTAAATCATTGCTTTAGATTGTGCTGAAATGGAGGGGATTTACAGAGAGATTCAAATATATTAAGCGAAGGATCAAATGTAAACATGGCATGCGCTCTTGGCAAGGTTGCTTCCACGGCACAGTTGGGTTTTCCAAATTTGCCTATATTGCAATCATAGATTACACAAATGCAATATTGTATCCCAATCATTTCCTCATGTAAAAATGGTTGGGTTGGCCAATCTTATTTGTTAACATTTATGTCAATAGTGGTCAATTATTTTTTCCATAATATATTTTTTGTCATGGTGTTAGGATGGGAGGGACAGTTTAATGTCACACAAGTAGCTAGGCCTATAAACTTTTTAAAGTAATAAAATAAAGGTCTTACCTTCCATGCAAAATAAAACCAGCCAAGCAATCCATAGGTCCGAATTATGGAATTTCATCATGGTTCGTAACTACTTGGCAAGTCGTTTTGTGTGCCTTCTTGATGAAATCAATCGTTATTTCACAGTTTATTTGATGGAAAGTAACGGTCTCTCGAAACAGCATACATGAATACAGTCCCAATGGTTTACGCAATAATCAGTTGCGTTTTAGGTAGCAAAATAATATTTTTTTAATTTTCTAAAAGTAGAAAGAGTAAGAAAAGGTTGCATCTCCTCATAGCCTACCACCACATCAAACCGTTGCTTCTTCTTTGTCGTATTTTCTTTTCGTTTCACTGTTGTTGTTTTTGTTGGTCGCACACTCGCACTATTTTGTCCGTTGACAGCACTTGGTATTTTCCCTTTAATCAATTAACGCACGTTCGGAAAATTATCGGCAGTCTTGTTGTAGTAGATACAAATTCACAGAAGACATGAAACAGTATAATTTCTTAGAGGATAGTTGTTTCTTCTTGTACAAGGCTGGCCCATGGTTTTCAACACTAAACATGCACTCCTTTTCTGTACAGCATTCTATTTGGAACCTTGATCGAGAACTAGCCCGGGCTGTTGCCAGGAGACCAGTGACGCCAGTCTAGACTAGAGGTAGTAATGCCCCCCTCTGGTGACCAAAAAAAAGCTACTGGATGTGCTTGGTAGGCAACTGCATCCCGCATTGCACGGTTGAAGGCAGCTCCAATGCATACGGATGTAATGCATTATGCATGCAATGCACGTACTGAATAAAAACTGATATCAAGTAGATAAAGTCTATGGACTTGCCAGGTTACCATTTATCTGGTTTATTTAAAGTTTTGGTTGATTGATTGGTCCAGCTTTCATGCACATCTTAATTCTGCAGAAGTGACAACTTTTCAGAAAGTATAAGCCCAATTCAATTTCAAAAAGTTGTTTTCTGCATGCAACCAACACAACCAACACAGTTCAGTTCTTCAAGCCCAATACAGTTCTTTGTCACCACCGCCCATATTAGAGATCCAGCAACACACAACAGCTCTCAAAGGGAGGCTACTGTCAATGTGTTCTCTTGAACAAAATGTGATCTCGCCACAGATCAGCACAAAATACTCCCTGTGTCTCACTAAACACTGCATGCATAAAGCCTGAGCACTTCTGGGCCAAATCTATATATAAAAAAAATAATTTTCTTTTTTTTGTCAAAGCTTTGTAGACAAACATTTGATGAAAACGTTTTCCCTTATTCAACTTTTTAGACTTTTGAGTAATTAAAAATGCATGAGAGGAGATGAGAAGGCGTGACAAGGGCCAGCGCTTCAATCAGCTCTTCCGTACTGCCTGGGGTTGTTGGCAGGGTTTCCAAAGAATATGTCTGTCACTCCTGACTTGGGCAACATAAGGAGTAGCTATTTGTACCTGAGGCCATTCAGATTGTTTTATTTCTGACATACTGCTGCCGTTTTATAGAACCCTGGCATATGTTATCAGATATTATGAATACTGGATCTTAAAGCACCCCTGGTCACTGCCTTATGATTTGAGAAAGCAGTAACACTCAAGTTATTCTTAAATACATTTGAAACAAGTGTGAAAGTATACAGTAGCCTATACACTGTACATACAGTTGAAGTCGGAAGTTTACATACACCTTAGCCAAATACATTTAAACTCAGTTTTTCACAATTCCTGACATTTTATCCTAGTAAACATTCCCTGTCTTAGGTCAGTTAGGATCACCACTTTATTTTAAGAATGTGAAATGTCAGAATAATAGTAGAGAGAATGATTTATTTCAGCTTGTATTTCTTTCATCACATTCCCAGTGGGTCGGAAGTTTACATACACTCAATTAGTATTTGGTAGCATTGCCTTTAAATTGTTTATCTTGGGTCAAACGTTTCGGGTAGCCTTCCACAAGCTTTCCACAATATGTTGAGTGAATTTTGGCCCATTCCTCCTGACAGAGCTGGTGTAACTGAGTCAGGTTTGTAGGCCTCCTTGCTCGCACACACTTTTTCAGTTCTGCCCACACATTTTCTATAGGATTGAGGTCAGAGCTTTGTGATGGCCACTCCAATACCTTGACTTTGTTGTCCTTAAGCCATTTTGCCACAACTTTGGATGTATGCTTGGGGTCATTGTACATTTGGAAGACCCATTTGCGACCAAGCTTTAACTTCCTGACTGATGTCTTGAGATGTTGCTTCAATATATCCACATCATTTTCCTTCCTCATCTTGCCATCTATTTTGTTAAGTGCACCAGTCCCTCCTGCAGCAAAGCACCCCCACAGCATGATGCTGCCACCCCCGTGCTTCACGGTTGGGATGGTGTTCTTCGGCTTGCAACCGTTCCCCTTTTTCCTCCAAACATAACGATGGTCATTATGGCCAAACAGTTCTATTTTTGTTTCATCAGACCAAAGGACATTTCTCCCTAAAGTACGATCTTTGTCCCCATGTGCAGTTGCAAACCGTAGTCTGGCTTTTTTATGGCGGTTTTGGAGCAGTGGCTTCTTCCTTGCTGAGCGGCCTTTCAGGTTATGTCGATATAAGACTTGTTTTACTGTGGATATAGATACTTTTGTACCCGTTTCCTCCAGCATCTTCACAAGGTCCTTTGCTGTTGTTCTGGGATTGATTTGCACTTTTCGCACCAAAGTACGTTCATCTCTAGGAGACAGAACGCGTCTCCTTCCTGAGCGGTATGACGGCTGCGTGGTCCCATGGTGTTTATACTTGCGTACTATTGTTTGTACAGATGAACGTGGTACCTTCAGCCGTTTGGAAATTGCTCCCAAGGATGAACCAGACTTGTGGAGGTTTGAAGGTAGGCCTTGAAATACATCCACAGGTACACCTCCAATTGACGTCAATTAGCCTATCAGAAGCTTCTAAAGCCATGACATCATTTTCTGGAATTTTCAAAGCTGTTTAAAGGCACAGTCAACTTAGTGTATGTAAACTTCTGACCCACTGGAATTGTGATACAGTGAATTATAAGTGAAATAATCTGTCTGTAAACAATTGTTGGAAAAAGTACTTGTGTCATGCACAAAGTAGATGCCAACTTGCCAAAACTATAGTTTGTTAAAAAGAAATGTGTGGAGTGGTTGAAAAACGAGTTTTAATGACTCCAACCTAAGTGTATGTAAACCTCTGACTTCAACTGTATGAGCACACCATTTTTTTGTTTTTACTAGAAGCTCTGTCATGTTCATTTCATAAACCATGAAAGTATAAATGAAAAGTGACCGTAGAGTTCTGCTGACAAGTTCACTAGATCAACTAGAAAGACAGGCTGTATATCTGTTAATCTCCCCTGCATCCCAACGGTGATACTGCCAAGTGTAAGAAGAGTTACCATACAGCAATGGCAGCATCCAAAGACACTTGATTTATTATTGATACATTTTGCAATCTCGCCATTTTCTTTTTTCCCCCTGGATTAAGAATGTGAACAAGATCCGTATGTTAAATGTTTTAATTCTTCTTTCCTGACAACCTGTTAGAGTTCACGTCCACTTGAATATTGATGCCATGTTAAGGAAACACTGCCTGGCTTTGCTGTGTCTTGCATTTTGTGTACCCCAGTCTTGTGCAGCTTTGCTTTTCCTAGTTAGGACTCATTCATGCTACAAAAACTATCTTCACACTGCGTAGTCTGAGTACAATACATATGTACTGAAGTAACATGCACTGTACCCAACACTATCCCCTGTTGAGAAAACCTTTGGGTATATGCTCCCTTATGCTTTTTACTTCAAAACTAAGAACATTGAGCTTTCACATAAAATGTGCTAAAATAAAACAAAAGAATGCAATTCAATCTTTTGACCGGACAATTTATCAAAAAACTTGAACAAAATGTTTGCCAATCAACTGTATTCAATCTATTAAACAAATATTCAATGACAAACACCTCCCCCTTCTGGTGGACATTAGACTTTTCACTAGGGAGGAAAGATGTCTGAAAAAAGTCAGACATTCACTATATATCCTGGTTGTTGTGTTATTTAATGTTCTGTTGTAAAACCACTAATTTACTGTCTGGCACATCAAAACATGATCAGGAACAACAAGGAAACGGTACACAGTAAATATCATGCATCAACACTGCAGTACGAAACATTGACACAAGAGTGAACTGGCAGTAGCACCTCCTCACAGCACCAGAATCAGTGATGCTTCTTCTTGCCTTCATCCTAAAATGACAAAAGACATACATTTAATATGAACCATTACATGTACTAATAATAACACTTGTTTTGGGTGAAATATGCAGTCAGGCAATGGCAGGCCCTGATATGTGACTGTAGGGCAGGTAACACCTTTTTATTGCTCTCCTATCTGATCGGTTTTCAGACACACCTAGTAACTCAGAGCATTCATGTCCATTTCCTCTTTTACATTAGCCTAGTTTGCATAAAAGTAAGGCATGACAAGGTTATAAAAGTTCTGATGAGTCTTACTGTCTTGCCCACATACCTATCAACAACAGATAGCTATTACAGTAAGAGGTAGCAGGAATACAGACTGCAAAAGGAGCTATGTTTCTAAAATAATGTTTTACTAGCTGATAAAGTGCATGGAACCGCATGTGATAGTAAAAGTTCTGAGTCTCAAGTCTGGTAAATGGAAACACCAACTACTCGTACATAACTAGAGCGTGATAAAACTGCCACAGCTGGTATGACCTGCACAGCCTTTACGGCCTTACCCATGTTGATAGTAAAGAACCCTTGAACTAAGGAGTGGTTGTCAACACGACTTGTTGGACCCCATTCTATAGCAGTCATACATTAACATTCTTTGGAACAATAATAGAGCATAAAAACAAACAAAAAACGGAACAAATCAAGGCTAATGTACACTACCTCGTCGCTGCTGGACGAAGATGATGATGAAGAGGATCCATGCCCATCATCTCTGTCCTTATGCTCTTTGGACTTCTTGTCTTTCTTCTTATGACCTTTGTCCTTCTTGTCACCATGTTTCTTGTCCTTATGTTCCTTATGCTTGTCTTTGTCCTCCTTATGGTCCTTGGATTTGTCATGGTCCTTACGGTCCTTGGATTTGTCATGGTCCTTACGGTCCTTGGATTTGTCATGGTCCTTTGATGCACTCTGAAAGTTGGTAGACAGTCAGGATACCTTGTATGCAGTTTGTGTGGATCAGCATTAATTGCACACAAATTGCTGTTGATGGTTGAAATACAATTGAAGCACTCGTCAAGCAACTGGTTTAGGTGATGGTAACAGTGTGTTTCTTACCTTGTCCTTATCCCCAGCTTTGTCCTTCTTCTTCCCCCATCCAAAGAGGGCGTTCTGTTCCTGGCCAGAGGCATCATCCTTTTTCACCTGATCATCTTTACCTACAGCTGTGATAAATAAGAGACAGGGCATGTAGGCTTACAGTGTTCTTTACATGAACAATCACAGCCTAATAAACTAACCAGAACCATTTCATTCAATTATAGGTTCTCATCCTCAATAGCAATAAGTAGAAAGTGGAGAAATCAAGAAAAGGCACTGTTTTCTTCAACTGAAAGGACATAAGGCCTTCTCCGTCTGTCCATGTTATATTGCTAATCATGTAATTTATGTATCAAGTCCTTTTGATGCACATTTGCCCTCTGTTATTAATAATATAAACATATTGTCTCAATTAAGGCAGTCTTTGGAATAATTCAATTAAATGCCTGACAGGTGTGAAGTGCGCATTCAATCAGCTCAAATAATAGGAAAACATGTGGCTTGCATCTCAGACTAATAACCAAAAAATCTATTGAGAAATTGATACACTGTAGTTCACACAATATTTTAGAGTAGAACGACTTGAATGCAATTATGATTAAAGAATTACCTGACGCCAAATCGAAATCCATGTTGTCTTGAGAGCACAAGGCAGTAGCGACACCCTGCAGGAACAATGTTTCCCTTTATAAACGGAAAACTCACGCAACGCACCTACCTGTTGACCCCACCCCGCAACCACGTGACCAAAACACGTTCGTGTTGTTCAGAAGGCACAAAACCGCACAATGATTTTTAAATGGAGGAGGGACTATCTGATTTTTGTCCATTAAGAATGCTATTGTTTCTTGCCCGTTTTTTTAACGGTTTTGAAAAAGCCCCTGATTGGGCCAGTGAGGAATTTACTTGGTGTAGGCTTAGTCCTGTAGCCTGACGATTCAAACTAAATGATTCTGCTGCTGTGTCGTTAGCTACATAGGCTACTTAGACTGAGACTGCCATCACGGAGGGGGTTCGCTTATCTGGCCCGGGGTTCATCAGTGGGAAGAGTTTGAACCGGTTGAAACGTGATTGCATTCGTTTTTGAACGGGGCTGTACAAAACAGTTAATCTGATCATACTTGTGGAATATACAAATACTTGCTTGATATATGTTTTCCAGTTTCTTGAAATACTTTGTTAATGCAATTTATTTATATGTGTAAACTGAAATGGTCTAATTCATTTTACATTTTTTAGATGCTCTTATCCAGACATTTTAATACTTTTAAGTACTGGTCCCCCATGGGAATCAAACCCACAACCCTAGCATTACAAGCCCCATGCTCTACCAACTGAGCCTCATCATCACAAACCACTTGATGTGTCTCAATGTACTCAATTACTGTATTGTGCATTGTTTTTCTTCATGGTGATGGAAAGTCTACATGTACCAAACCTAGATGACCAGCCTATGTACATTTAGCCTTCATTAAGTGGTTTGTAAGGATAGTCAATTAATACTGCACAAAAAGTGGTTGTTTTCCATGTTATTTGATCAAGAAAAGTATTTAATTTGATGTGGATGTTTTATGTCTTTGCCCATAATTTTACACCTTTTGATGTAAATGTTTGAGGACAGGTTTTTGTTCCTTCTGGAACCATTAGAATGACAAAAGAAGAGAAAGGGACAGGGCCACAACTCTTACAATTCCAACGATTGAATCCTGCAAGATACTGTTCTTAATTATACAACGACCTTTTTTGCCAAAGCTGAAATGTTTAAAAAATGTTTTGGCCCGCACTACAGACGTCTATATCAGTCAGCTAATACTAATAAAGCCAGTGCACTACTTGAACATTTTTGTATATCTTTTTTTTATTCCGATTTTTCAGGGGGTGTTGCAGCACCCTTACTTCCCGCGGCTATGCCACTTAGTCCTTATTTTTTAGCAGACTAAGGCTGATCTATCTAGATAATTATTCCATACAACTGAAATCAAGTATTTCCTCGTTTACCACAGCAAATCTGCTGTGGCAATTTACCGGACAGGTAGGCCTATGAATTAAACATTTATGTTGGTGTAGCTCTAATTATATTCGGTTCCGATTTATGTTATCAATTCAATACAACTGTCTTTAAAATAAAAGTGTCTGGTATGGTAACTTCTTCTCAAGATCGGGGGTAAAATATCCCTGGACTGTCCATATTTCAAAATGTGTAACTAAATCAAGTCAATCGTGATTGAGATATAGGCCGTGTTCGCGAGGATCGAAACCACAATGTATCATGGGTAAATTGTGACTGACTGACTGATCTACAAATAATAATGAATTGTTATTTATGATGCAAGGTGATTTGTAGATCAGTCAGTCAGCAGTCGCCTGCAGTCGTTTTGATGATCTCGAACACGGCCATAGACTAATATTAGGGCCAGTTGTTTCTTTTGTTTATTTCTTTAGCCGGTATTTTTGGCATTATCGTCTAGTTTTGCTGCAGGTAGAAAATCATAGGACATTTTATTTAATTGAGACAAGCAGTCTCCAATCAAATTCCATTTTATATGTCACATCCCCCAAATACAATTGGTGTGGACTTTACCATGAAATGCTTACTTACTAGCCCTTTGCCATCGGTGATTCTACACCTCACTTTGCTCAAGCTGATCCTTTCCAACGGACATGGAAGTTGTAGCTAAAAATGGGTCAATTAGGAGCAGTTAAAGGGGAGAGTCAATTAAACCAACCATGGATGTATGTTGTAGCGAACCTGGGTGGGGTAGTTAATAGACCAATAAGAAAGGGAGTTCCAAAACTCTTTGCCAAAAACAGCTAATGTTCAGTTTTCCCCTCCCCACTCAGACCACTCCCAGACAGTCCTAGCACAATTCTTGCTTGAGAAATTGCTCTTCTAAGAAGCTATTTTTCTTTATTTTTGACCATTCTAATTTAAAACAATCACAGTAAGGTACTTGGACTGTCTGGGAGTGGTCTGAGATGATTGGACTACCCCAGGGAAAACCTTGAGGGTTTGGTATTCTCTTTGCATACAATTCCAATATTCACTTCCTTGTACCTACCTCTTTCTTGTTTCTTCGTTTTTTTTCTTAGATTCTCCCTCAACATTGGAACAGGAGTCCTGTGACCCAAAAAAAGACCAATGTAAATTTAAGGAGAATGAGTTTATAAGCTATTTTGGTATGACATGTTTGTATACATAAAAGTCTAGCAGGAATTTCTCTCTTATTTGTATCTTCTTCTTGTCTTTGTCACTTCAGGAGGACAGACAGTGTTCCAATCAGTATCATATGCATCTCCAAATGACATTTACAGTGAGGGAAAAAAGTATTTGATACCCTGCTGATTTTGTACGTTTGCCCACTGACAAATAAATTATCAGTCTATAATTTTTATGGTAGGTTTATTTGAACAGTGAGAGACAGAATAACAACAAAATAATCCAGAAAAACGCATGTCAAAAATGTTATAAATTGATTTGCATTTTAATGAGGGAAATAAGTATTTGACCCCCTCTCAATCAGAAAGATTTCTGGCTCCCAGGTGTCTTTTATACAGGTAATGAGCTGATATTAGGAGCACACTCTTCAAGGGAGTGCTCCTAATCTCAGTTTGTTACCTGTATAAAAGACACCTGTCCACAGAAGCAATCAATCAATCAGATTCCAAACTCTCCACCATGGCCAAGACCAAAGAGCTCTCCAAGGATGTCAGGGACAAGATTGTAGACCTACACAAGGCTGGAATGGGCTACAAGACCATCGCCAAGCAGCTTGGTGAGAAGGTGACAACAGTTGGTGCGATTATTCGCAAATGGAAGAAACACAAAAGAACTGTCAATCTCCCTCGGCCTGGGGCTCCATGCAAGATCTCACCTCGTGGAGTTGCAATGATAATGAGAATGGTGAGGAATCAGCCCAGAACTACACGGGAGGATCTTGTCAATGATCTCAAGGCAGCTGGGACCATAGTCACCAAGAAAACAATTGGTAACACACTACGCCGTGAAGGACTGAAATCCTGCAGCACCCGCAAGGTCCCCCTGCTCAATAAAGCACATATACAGGGCTGTCTGAAGTTTGCCAATGAACATCTGAATGAAAATGGAGCTCTTCGGCATCAACTCAACTCGCTTTGTTTGGAGGAGGAGGAATGCTGCCTATGACCCCAAGAACACCATCCCCACTGTCAAACATGGAGGTGGAAACATTATGCTTTGGGGGTGTTTTTCTGCTAAGGGGACAGGACAACTTCACCGCATCAAAGGGACGATGGACGGGGCCATGTACTGTCAAATCTTGGGTGAGAACCTCCTTCCCTCAGCCAGGGCATTGAAAATGGGTCGTGGATGGGGATTCCAGCATGACAATGACCCAAAACACACGGCCAAGCCAACAAAGGAGTGGCTCAAGAAGAAGCACATTAAGGTCCTGGAGTGGCCTAGCCAGTCTCCAGACCTTAATCCCATAGAAAATCTGTGGAGGGAGCTGAATGTTCGAGTTGCCAAACGTCAGGCTCAAAACCTTAATGACTTGGAGAAGATCTGCAAAGAGGAGTGGGACAAAATCCCTCCTGAGATGTGTGCAAACCTGGTGGCAAACTACAAGAAACGTCTGACCTCTGTGATTGCCAACAAGGGTTTTGCCACCAAGTACTAAGCCATGTTTTGCAGAGGGGTCAAATACTTATTTCCCTCATTAAAATGCAAATCAATTTATAACATTTTTGACATGCGTTTTTCTGATTTTTGTTGTTGTTATTCTGTCTCTCACTGTTCAAATAAACCTACCATTAAAATTATAGACTGATCATGTCTTTGTCAGTGGGCAAACGTACAAAATTAGCACGGGATCAAATACTTTTTTCCCTCACTGTACCTTCTTCTTCTTTTCATCATCACTTCCAGAAGAGGAGCCCTACAGGACAAACAGAGGACGTGGTCCGTCAGATTCCAGTGTTCACCTCACTATTGTGCATCTCCAAATAACATTCTTCTTCTTCTTCTTCTTCTTCTTCTTCTTCTTCTTCTCTTTCTTCTTCTTTATCTTATCTTCATCACTTCCAGATGAGGAGTCATCCTAGACACACATAAAATACAGTATATGGTGATCAATAACTATCCTATTTTATTAGCCTCCACTATGTGCACTGGGCTCATAACACACAGAGGGGCTCATAAATAACTTGCAAATACATTTGTGTTACTTACCTTTTTCTTCTTCTTGTCTTTCTTCCTCTTATCCTTCTTCTTCTTTTTCTTATCTTCCTCGCTGTCAGAACAAGAGTCCTGGGTACACAGGAGGAACGATTCACAGTCACATTCTGATTGTTACTGTCGTTAATTTGAGGATCACTCTCTAAGACAGTCAATTAAAAAACATACCTCCTTCTTCTTCTTCTTCTTCTTCTTCTTCTTCTTCTTCTTCTTCTTCTTCTTCTTCTTCTTCTTCTTCTTCTTCTTCTTCTTCTTATCCTCGCTGTCAGATGAGTCCTGGACACACACAAGGGCGGCAGGTAGCTTAGTGGTTAAGAGCGTTGTGCCAGTAACCGAAAGGTCGCTGGTTCTAATCCCAGAGCCGACTAGGTGAAAAATCTGTTGATGTGCCCTTGAGCAAGGCACTTAACCCTAATTGCTCATGTAAGTCGCTCTGGATAAGAGCGTCTGCTATATGACTAAAATGTAAATGTATTCAGGTGTCATTAGATAGCTCAAATTAACAGTTATTTCAATTATTATTTTGTTTTACAGCCAATAATAAAACCTACCTTCTTATCCTTCTTCTTCTTTTTCTTCTTGTCCTTCTTCTTCTTTTTCTTGTCTTCCTCACTGTCAGAGTCCTGGACACACAAGATACATATTCTGGTCATTCTTG